CGGCTGCGGCGGGGAACAGGCGGTTTCCGCCTGTCGGCTTCGTGCCGGACTGCGGGACAGGGCGCCCGGCGGCGCTCCGGCACGTCTCTGGAGGCTCTGCTGTGCGAGGGGAGAGGGAAAAGCGGGTGGGGGGAGCTGAGCGGGGCAGCCGCCTAGGCCCCGCTTCCGCAGCGGGACCATCGGCTGATTCTGTTGCATCATGTAGCCCTTGCAGTGGCCCAGGCCTTCAGAGGTAGTCGCGAGTTTTCCTTCAGTTTTGATCGTAGGAGGAAGGAGGGTTTTTCCCCCTGGGAGTTGGAGGAGTGTTTTTGTGCATATGGACTAAATGACTTGTGAGTAATAACTTGCTTGAAAGTGAGAGTCCACACTGAGATGTGTTGTTTTGATAGACTGGCATCCAAAATCGGATTGCAGCATAAAGCAAAAAGTTCTCTTTGCTGTTTGTAGGGAGCAGGGACTCGTTTCCTGTCCTGGCAGATCAGAGTGTTGGTATCACATGAAAAAATCAAATAGCAAACCCAGTTTCTCTCTCCTAGTTCTCCTTTGCTGTCTTCCACTGTCAGAAAGTATTGGTGTATAAAGTGACTACCTGTCTGGAGCCATGCTGTTCCTCTGTATCACGTGCTTTTCTTCCTATATATGCTTTACGTGGCACTCAGGTTTTGGCACTGTGTTCTCTGCCTGGAAGTGAAATTCCAGGGGAAGGTTTGTACAGGTGTGTACAGCTCCTTCGGTGCAGCTCTGTTCAAGGCATGTTAGCACAGCTGTCACTTCAGGTAAGTTCAGTACTTACACTGGATTCATCTATGCTGGGATTTGCTTCATCATCTGAGCCAAAGCAAGCCATGCCAGGACCACTTTAAATTGATGTGACTGCTCTCTGTGATGGGTTTTTGCAACTGCAACAGCATATGGCTTTTACAGAGTCTAATAAGGAGTTAGATTGCTGTGGTGAAACTGTTTTTTCTCCCTCAGTTCTGCAGATCAGCAAAGATGATGTGACTGCACTTCAATGTAAAGTAGTGTGTCTTATTCAGAACGGGAGCTTCAAGGAAGCCCTCAGCGTAATCAACACCCACACTAAGGTGTTAACCAGGTGAGTTGTGTCTTGCTGTACTCTAAGAAATATGAAACCGCAAGTCCCTCAGAAGGTGCTGCAGCTTCAGTGGAGGAGACTAATAGGCAACAAAATAAAGAGCAGGAGGTGCTCAGAGCCATTGGGATTTGGCTTCTCAGTAAAATACTGATTTATTCTGGATGTGAGAGGTGGTCTTGGTAAGTTTGAGATAAATTTGACATCTTGCTGTTACTGTTGAAGGGATTGTCCCTAATCTAGTTTCCAGCCACCTCAAGAGCTGATTCTGCTTGTTGAAGTGGCCGAGCACCATAGTTGGTACAAGGGAAGAGGACAGATCTCATGGGGAGTGAAGAGAGGAGGCCTTGCCAGTGGCAGCAGGTGGTTAGCTTTGCTTGGCAGCCTCATCATACTGCTCCTCGGGGTCCTTTTCTTTGCCAGTCTGAAGGTACTGCTTCAGCTTTTGGGGTGGTGTAAGCCCTTTGTGCATGTTCACAAAATCAGGACCTTGGAGACAACTTGTGTTTGAGAACAAGTCAAGCTTTCCATTTGTGTCACTAAGCAGACTCTAATTTTCTTCCTAATAAAGATGCTCTTTGTGCAACAGCTAGGATGAAAATTGCTAACCAAGAACTGCTTGGCAGCAAAATTTTTGTATTTCAAATACTGCTCTTTGTTAAGGAACTTCCCCAGAAAGTGTGTTGTAGTATCAGTGCAATGAAACGTACCTTCATTTATGTTCACATCTGAATAAAACCTAATTAGCTTATTCACAACTTTGTTCTTTCCTGGGATGGAAGGGTTTTTTTAGCTTGGTTTTTTAGTACATAGTGAGGAGGAGGAATAATTTTTCTGAA